CCCACTAACATTATTGTCTTTTAATCAATTCTATATCTCATATATTCATGTCGCGAACATGTGAACAACGACGAAGTTTCAAAGAAAATGAAAACAAAAAGAAAACATGCTTAACATCAGGGGGAGACAGTTGAGGTTTCTAGGACACATAATGAGGAAGGAGGGCTTGGAAAATCTGATACTCACAGGACAGAATGAAGACAAGTGGGACCGAGGAAAACAATGCATAAACTTCCTAGCGAATGGCAGAACAAATTTAGGAGAAATAACAAAAATATATTAAGAGCTACAAAGGAAAGGAAATTGCGGAGAGCCATGATCACCAAAGTCTTGAATGACATGGCACAAAGAAGAAGAAGAATCCTTCAAAGGGAGGTTGGGCCAGTTTACGAGTCTTCACTAATGATTTTATTTACTTCGAATTATTAAGAAACCAAAGAAGGAAATTTACAAACGGTGGCCAATTCTCATAGAATATAAGGCCGGTCGTGAGCAAAATAATTACATATAGTGTTGCTTAAAACACCTTGAAAACGAAAATATAAACATGCATTTTGCCCTTCTTGCTTATAGATCTCTCATTGCAGCTTCTTGTTTTCCAGTCAACTTTGATCGTCAAAGATTTAAACGCAATATTCCGTATTCTTAATTTGTGATCTTTTATTGTTCTCTCTCTTCCATAAAAATTTCTTTTACCCACACGCTTTTGATGTTTATCAAAATAAAAGTCTGTAGAATCTTTTACATAACTAGGAAGCGAAATAAATTCTACTGAAAAAAAAAAAATGAAAATTCGCATAGCTAAATTCTAGACCGCCTTGAATAAAATGGATGTAATCTGGAAATCCGATCTACTAGACAACCTCAAACAGAGATTCTTTCGAGCCACTGAAGAGCTGAAGTTGATATATAGTGCCACTCCTTGGGCATTAACTAAAACCCTAGAGTCTAAGCTTGATGGAAGTTACACTCGAATGCTGAGAGCTATACTTTATATCTCTTGAACATCCAACTAAATCACAGCTCTATGAACCCATTACTGATATTTCTACAATCTTAGTCGAGCGTAGAATGCGCTTTTCAGGACACTGCTGGCGAGTAAAACATAAAACTTAACAGTGATCTACTGCTCCGGGCACCTAGCCATGGAGCGACACGTGTTGGTCACCCAGGAGCCACCTTACATCGATCAACTATGTTATGACACAGAATACTACACTAATGATTTTCCGACCTTTGATGCAGGACAGTGATAGTTAGTGTGAAAGACTCATAAATGATTGAGCCTCGCTCGACTGTATAAAAAAAATATGTACTGTTATGATAAAGATACGAAAGAGGAAAGAAATTCATCTGAAAAAAAAAATCACTATAAAACACTTCATCGAGCGCTATTGAGAGCATATTGGTTAGATTGGAATGTCTAACCATCGGACAGAATTAAAGATGAGGGAACATGCTGAGTTGCTGCTTGTGTGGTACAAGTGTTGAAAGAGGGGGTCATGGCAGATCAAACTGTCAAAAGAAACTCGGAAAATACAATAACTTCTTCAATACTTGTTACAGATTGACACAATCTCTTTCTTTTTATTTATTTATTTATCTAATACAATGCTCAACAGCCCGTCTGGGTAGAGCGTCAGTGAATGATTTTGTTGTGTGAGCGGTAAGAATAAGAGGTTAATGAGTAGTTTATGAGTATATGTACGATAGATAAGGGCTAACCCTAAATTTGACAATGTTAAGATTGTAGTTGTTTGGGAAGCGTCCTCTTGAGAGTCTGATCCACAAAACAGTGTTTCGTGAGAAGAAGCTGTTCGAGTGGAACTTACACTTGACTAATGAAATACGAAGTGAATGAGGGTGTTTCGCTACAGTGTACGTGGCATGTCGGGTGGAACTATGAAGCGTAACTCGGGTCAACATTTTCCGTGGAAAGGCCAATAGCAACTGGCTTGCATCATTTTGCCTGTAGGAAAGGGGTTTCAAGGAGGAAATAATTAATCACCCACATGGCCGTTTAGACACTTTTGGATTTTATCAAGACTGGAAAGGGAAGACTGTGCAGCTCCAGCCGCAATATGCCAACAGTACTCTATATCTACGATTTTGCAAGAGCATTTGATACGGTACGAAACAGAGGTTCTTATTGCCATATCACTGAAGTCAAGCAACGTCGAGCCTGGTCAGTATCTATATGGATGACCGCTTGTGAATACCAGGTGCTGTAAGATTGGATGTGCGAGTGGTGCAATGGATAATGGCTCGGAACTGGAAATTGGAGAGTTGGGTTCCATTTCCAGTTCGTAATATTCACTTACGCGCAAATACCCTTGGGGAAAGTATGAATAAACCCCTTCTCCCTCCAACAATGAGTTATTTAGTAGGAATTGTATTAATAAATCATTATTATCTCCAAAACGGTATTACAATCTAAAATATTTTCTAGATTTAATTAACCTGCAAAGGGTTGATAATCCGTAAAACAAATCAATGAATTAACGAACTATCTGAACTTCAAGGAAAGCTCGACTTTCTTTTTTAATTGTTTCACACCAAGCAAGGTGATAGTGCCATTAAAACACAAGGGGATCGAAGATTGAGTTCTGTTTTTAATTTTCATTAACGACCTTTCTGACATCAGCTCTTAACTTGGTATCTATGCTGATAGCATAAGCATTTATTCCTGTTTCGATACTAAATCTGATCAGTTCAATAACGTCAAATCCCACAAACCACCTACAGTCAGTTGTTAACTAGGGCAACCTATGGTTTGTTAATTTTAACTCAGCCAAAACTAAACTGCTCTCTGTTAATCATCTGAGATCCCTCTCTGTCTTTCATCAGCATGGCTGATGCTAACCTCCAGGAGAGTAACTTGTTGTGCCTTATCGGGTTAATATTCTCGGTTGACATGAAGTGGAAAGACGACATTGAATCCATTGCTAAGTCAACTGCTAAGAAAGTTGGTTCACTGATTTAGACAATTTTTCGCTTCAGAATCTATCTTACATGTTTATAAATCTACCATTCGCACAGATTTAGAGTATTCCTGCCACATATGGTCCGGTGCTCCTACAATTTATTTAGAGATTCATGATAAAATCCAAAGAAGAATCAGCAATATTATTGATTCTGACCTGGCGCCTTGTATCTTAGTCCCAACCTTTTACTGTTGAATTAGTTAAATGCAACTGCAACAGTTTCTTTTCTCACACTTCCCACCTATGGAAATCCCTTTCGTTTACTTGCTTCCCTCATAAACACAATCTTCATAAATTTAAGTGCAACATCAATCGACATCTTCTATCTTCTTGAAACACGTTCATCTTTTGTCCATTCCTCAATCCTCCATATTCTCAGTCTTTTTTATCACTTTCCTTTCCTGTAAACAGCTGCGTACTAGTGGCAATCCCGCCTTACTTGGGGTGAAGTGATCAAAAGAAAAAACAAGAAGCGTCGGTTTACGGTGGGATTATTAGATGTTAATGGCGTCAAAATTAAAGCGTGATATTGAGTAAATATTGGGAAAGAAATATGAAAGAAAATAAATTAAAATATAATTATTAACTTCCAAAATTATTCTTTATCTGTTATCTAAAATTTGTCTGTGAGTCATGTACACAAATAATAGCGTCAAATAGATCAAACGACAACTAATTAGGTCATTGATTCGATTGCTTAAATAATCTTATGTAAACTTTTCATTTACATTTTCCGTTCTGCATTGACTAACGAGCTAATCTTACACACTGTTACTACTGTAGTGAGTTCATTTATTATTAAGGTCCCCTTTTTTTACATTTCGAGAAATTTCGTAGAAAATATGCATTTTCCGACCGGAATCGAAACTGTATCCCATACGGAAATCGTCATATTATCGAACATTCAGTCCGGTTAATGTAATTAATACTGTTTAATTAAAAGAGAGTATTTACACAAATAAGTTGTATCCATAAAAATAACGTATAAACAGAAAATATATTAAAATATTTGTCGGATTTAATCCATTCCATCTGATATGTTTTCATTGTTTACGGTTGATTATGTTTCGGAGTAGAAATGAATTATCGAAAAAGATCTTCGAAGATGGATGTTTATAAGCAGAAATGTGAACTTTGCTATCCGGGAAGTTTTCCGCTATTGACTGGTTAACAGCAAGTCAGGCAATATGACGTTTTCCGTGTGGGATACAGGTTCGATTCTCATCGAAGAACGCATATTTTCTAAGAGATTTCTCGAACATTCAGGCTGGTAAATGCAATTAATACCGTTTAATTAAAACAGAGCTTTTACTCAAATAAGTTGTATCCATAAAAATAACGTATGAACAGAAAATATATTAAAACATATATATATATATATATATATATATATATATCAATGTGTTTAAAATGAGATATAAAATCCCAACAAAAAGTTTTAAGAACTTTAACAAAATGTTTAATTGAAACGTTTTCCATTTTTCATATATATATATATATATATATATATATATATATATATATATATATATATCACTATTTTTGGTTTCACTTGCAATTAACGTTTATATTCTTACTTTCGCCGATTAACCTTAAAAAGTTACAATCTATTATAAAGATTTCAAGTAAGAAGATTGAAAAAAGTCAACACACCCTTATATGATGGTTTTTAGTCCTTTTAACAAGGGATAAATCCTTCACGGTACATTGAATGTTTCTGGAGTTGAATCCACGCCCAGTTCAAAATGATTTGATCGTTCATTTATTACATATTTTTAAATTTCTATGTGAAGGAAATAATTAGCTCTTATATGTTATCCTGCAGATTAATAATTTTAGGTTAATTTTATAACGCTTTATTTTTCATTTTCTTCTTTTCGATCTAAGAAAAATATTTGGATACCGTCAACAAAATCAAGGGAAATTAAACTAACGAATGAGAAAGGCTTTTAGAATAAAATAAATCATTTGTTAATTGACACAATTAAGAATGCAAGCTGGAAAAATAGCCCTTACCTTAACAAAGGATATGCAGAAAGGTGTTTGCTAACGAGGTGAAAAGTTTACAATGAGTCAATGTAGCACGAATTAAAAGAAACTGGGTCGATAAAAATAGATTTGGTTAGGTCACACAAGTAACAAATACGCAACTTGCATAGCAGTTTTAAGTCTTTATATAAATAATAGATTTATCATGATTTTTATTATTGTTTATTATTATTATTATATTATTAGAAAATATTCAGATATACAGTGCTGTTCGATAAAAGTGACTCACCTGATTTTTTTTTTACTAAATGTTCTCTTCTCTCGATGAAACGAAAGTTGAGCTAAATTCAAAGGATAAGCGATCTAAAATCCTAAGAAGAAGCTTTGAAAGCTCTTTGAATTTAGCAGTAAGTACTGTCAAGCATCCGTTCAGTATAATGTTCTGGGGATGCTTTTCTTTTCATGGAACTGGTTTCTTGAAACCTATTGAAAAGACCCTCAAGAGCGAGCAGTACAAGAGAATTTTAGTCTTGTCTGCTCCCTTCTGCTGAAAGGGTGCAAATCGACCCCACCAAGGTCATTTTTATACAGGATAATGCTCGCTGTCACAAATCAAAAGTGATGAAGGTATCTATGATGAGAATACTTTGATGAGAAGCAGGTGAGTGTTATGACGCAATCTCCTGACCTCAACTCCATAGAAAACTTATGGAGCATGTTGCTCAAATGCTTTCTCGAGAGCCTGTACACAATAAAATGTTTATTCAAACACGTGCACCACTACAAATAACGTTTATAGTAATATATATATATATATATATATATAATTATTTATTAAAAATTAAATCACTACAAAATTAGCCATTTTGTTTCAACACCTCTTTTAAGAATAGTAATTGTTGGTTATTGGAATTTATTCCGTATATACCAATCATATATTTATATATATATATATATATATATATATATATATATATATATATATATATATGAAGAAATATGTGCTATATTTATGGGATAAAGTGCTCAGTATCTTAGAGATAGTGAGTATATATAAAAGTGAACATCAGATGCGACAGGCTGTTTCATTCTAGAACGCTATCGTCAAATCGCGAATGTTGGATTTTTTCTTGACTACTTATACGTATGGTCATATATATATATATATATATATATATATATATATATATATATATATATATATATATATATGTATGTGGTAATCCATTCTGGCGTTTATTTTGGCTTATTTATTTATTTATGTTAATTCATTTTACCTGTTTTTCTTTTTATTTTCATTTTTTATTTTATACATTTATTCTTTTCGGTTTTCGATGTTTTACTAATGTAATAAAAAAAATTAGTGGGGATTTGCTTAGGTCGCTTATTTGTTTTGGCCTGGGAAGATAATTAAAGCTATTTATTCGTCCAATTTTTAGATTGATTGCCGTAGTCTATTCTGTTATTTGGTGGGGGGGGGCAATTTTTAATTTGTTTATTATTTATTCATTTATTTGAATTGATTATTTTTACTTGTTTTTGCTTATTTTTATTAGTTCTAACGGTTATTTTAGCGGGAGCGATTTGTTAATTTGGTGTCCTCTTCTTTTTCCTCTTGTTCCTTATAGAATGGTCATATCACTTCAGCTTCCTCTTCTTTTATGCGGGGGGATCAACTCGTCCTTATGGCCATTTATCTGATGACTCGCTATTCTTCACACCTCTTCCTTCTAGAATGGTCTTGGAGAGTTTTCATGCTCTGATTACGTGACCACACCACTTCGGCTTCTTCTTCGTGGTGGCGGTCAACACATCTTTAGGGCCGTTTATCTGATGACTCACTCTTCTGCACACATCTTCATTATAGGATGGTCTTGGAGTGTTTTCATCATCTGATTACGTGGCCATACCACTTCAGCTTCCTCTCTGTTATGGTTGTCAATCCGTTTTTGTTGCCATTTATCTGATGACTCACTCTTTTGCACATCTCTTCATTGGAGGATTATCTTGAAGAGGCCCCGTGATCCGGTTATATGGCCATACCACTTCTTCTTCCTTATGGTAGTCAACACGTCTTTATAGCCATTTATCTGATGACTCAGTATATTTGCTTTCCCCTAGAAAGTATAAAAAATGCCTGATATTTCCTTCAAATTTTGCTTTTGTGACCAATGTTATATCTAAAATTTAGTGATTCCTATTGGAAAAATGCGGACATTCTTGTTCAAGTAAAATAGGAACAAAACGATATATATTTAAAAAAATAGCAATTATTTATTCTACACTAGAGATACCACAAAAAATTTAGAAGTGATTATTTTTTCGCGATTTCTCTTATACTGTAAATGACTTTTACGAATCAACACTCAAATATAGTCCCTCATCATGTTTTAGTTATACGGTCCTTAGTTGCAGCGTTCAAAGTCCTGGTAGGTGCGCTCACCTTGCTCGTCTGATGAGCGTCAAGGAGACAGACTTTGAGGGTCATCCTGCAGCCCATTTTGCCGTGGTTTTTCACCAGGGTCTCAACAAACCCCACATAGTTTTCGGGCTTGTCATTCCCCAAGAATCTCCGAACAACTGCAACAAAGCTGTTCTACGTTGCCTTCTCCGTTTTAGTGAGCTTCTTGGAGGATTCTTTACACTCTTTGATCTTTTTTATTTGTCGTCCAAGGAAGACACTGGCTTAGGGAAGAAGTTTTGAAGGTACTTGAAGGCTGTAGACTCATTAACTAGAGCTGTGACTAATTGTTTCATAAGGCCCAATTTTAAGAGCAGTTGATGAAACTTTACTTTCCGGAGTCTAACAATGGATCTTATTTGGCACTGTTGCTTTTCACACTCAACTCGGTCCGCTGTGGCCAGTACCGCCTGTAGTAGTAGGCCGCTGCTGTCCCAAAGAAACTTGGTGAACACGCCTTGGAGATTCATCAGGAAGCTCCCCATTTTGAAGTCTGCGATAACCTCCTAACCGTACTCTTCATATCTCAAGGCAGCTAGCATGATCTTGACGCTGAGCCAGGAGAGATGGATACATGTTCCAGTCATGAAACAGCACAGTCGGCTTTGAGGCTCCTTGATGAGCTGTCAATGAAGAGACGACATTCGCTAGGGTTACAGGCGATTCCAATTTCTTGAAAAGGACCGGTCACATTGCGGCACAAGCAAAGTCCATATTGACGGATAAAAAACTTGGTAAAGCGCTAGTGACGCTTTCTTTGACATGTGACTTGCTCACTTTCATTTAACAAATTCTACTGCTTGTCTCGACGTCAAAATCTTTGCATTGAACATTGTGAGTCCAAGATCTCTGATCAGGTCGTTGACGTCTTTTTTTTATTGGGGGTAGTATGGGTTTCTTGCCTCAACTGTGCTTCTTTAATCTAGATCAATAACTTCATCCTCTTATGAATTGAAAATCTTGAAAATCTTCAAGCTCTCTTTCCTCGTTATGTTTCCAATTAAATTTCAGCTGTCCTTTTTTATTCTAAGTACAATTATCCATTTTGTTTTCAATCTTCCTTAAAATCTCCTCGTTGCCGACGTGATCTGTCCACGGCATTCTCATCATCCTTCTGTAGAACTCAATTTTTGTTACTTCATGTATACTCCTCATCTGTCTCATTTTCACTACCATATAGAAGGATTGATATTATATAGTACTTCAATGCCGTTTTCTTTGTTTCTCACGAAATTCTTGTCTCTTAATAGATTTTGGAAGACACCTTTCGCTATTCGAATGCGCCTTCGGATTTCGGTGTCACATTTTTTATTTTCTGTTATAATACTTAACAGATAGTTAAATTTCTGTGCTTGTTTGATTCTCTATCTAACTTGCATCTTGAGTTGTCCATCTTTCTACATTTTTTCTTCTAACAATTGGTAGTCCTTTTTCCTCGCTTTTTTTGTTACTTCATCTTAGAATTTCTGCAGTTTCCTTTCTGGCAAGACTTCAAGCATCACCTCGGTACATGGATAGAATACAAATGCTGAAAATAGGCATTTTGTTTCAACAACTATCAAAATGATTTTTAATTGTTCACTTATAACAAATGAGGCCCTTTCACTGGCATGAACAATTTTGGAAACATGTTGGAATTATTATTATTCCATATGAACAAATATGTATTTCTATCAAAGTAGCCTTTCTTAAATTTTTTTTTTTTTTCATAAGCTGTGTCCCTTCAGGATGTGGGTGACCATGACTTTCCACAACTTCCTATCCTTTGTAAGTGTTAAGAATGTTTGCCTTCAAATTTTAAAAAAATGTTTGCCTTAAGAATTCTTGCTTTCAATATGCCCTGTGACTGTCAGACTCTCCAATCCCACTTTCCTCATTATAAGTCCTGGGGATTTCAACTGTCACTTTATTATTCGAAATATAAGTGTCTTTTTGTCACCATTCTTCTTAAAACTTCCTGTTTGCTTACATTCATCGTCCATGGTATTCTCAGCATCCTTCTTTAGAATCATATCTCTGTCGCCTCGAGTCTCCTCGGGAGATTGTCCATAATTCATTGCTATAGAGGAGGTGTGATATTACATAATAATTCAACATTCTTTTCTTTGTTTCAAACGAAATTTTCCTATCTGTTATTACTTTGTTTATTTCTTTGGCTTTCGGAAGGCATCCTGGGGCTAAAAAAGAAAAAAAGAGAGAGAGGTTTTTGCGATCCGTTCTTTGTACACTGCTTTGTCAACGTCATGTAGCGGTTGGTAGCAGAAGTTCACAGAAAGACAAGCGGGATACACCCAGGACATCAATTATTTGAACTCGTAATTTTGTTGTTTTCATAATGTTATATTCTTTAGGTCTCTTCATTGATCTGTTTTCTGTATAATTTTTGTATTTTCATTTTTTTTTTTAATGAATTCGAGCGACAATAAAAGAATTACTGGACGCTGCAGAAAATTTATACAGATACGAGAGTAATTTGGTAGAAATATTATAGAGAAACTACAATTGTGGTGAAAATAAAAATATTGTTTTTATTTATGAGGAAATTAAAACTGCAGCAAAATATAATTAAAGATTGTGGGCGATGACTTTGAGATAT